TGCAGGTCACGGCCGCTGCTTTTAAGGGGCGCAGACGGACCGGCAGGAAGGGCGAAAGCCTCAGGACATGTTGGGCTACAGACTTGTGGAGTTCCCTCTCCTGCTTCTGTTGGGGAAAAGTCCATACCCGCCTCGGAAGACTCTAATTTTATCCGCTTCTTTGTTTCTTGCTTCTGGTATTTTTGGTTCTTAGCATTTTTTTCTCTGTTTTGTTTCCCACTATGCACCCAACAGGAAGAGCCCCTCGCAAAGCCCTCCAGAGTAAGAAGAAGGAAAAAAAAGGTCCAGATGACATTTGCTTTCTGCAGGCAGAACTGAACACAGGCAGCAGCCAACATTTCCCCAAAGCCTCTCACCACCTCTTCTCTTTCCATGAGAAACAGAAAGGAAATTGGATCCTACAAGAAAACCATTTTCCAAAATGCCAAAGACCTCAGAATAGCCTGTTCGCTTGCATGCACTGACTTCTCCAGCAAGACAGGACTCAGGTCTTGCAATCGCATAAGCTCAGAAAGGCGATACTCACGCAGTATCTTGAAAATAAATACCTGTATTTCACGGAAGGGAGATGAACCCTTCGTGCGCATCGTAGCCCCGCGGTCTATAGGTGCTGGGAAGGCCTGCTCAGGCGGGGTCCTGAAACGTCCGTTTGTTCTTCTTGAGGAAATGTGCAGGAAAGACTTGCAGAGCAGGACCATGAGGCTGTGCAGGGGTAGCTCGGTCATCGTAGGACCACGTTCATCTCTTCTGTGAGCCACCTGATTGAAACAGGATGGTCTTCATACTTAAAAATCCACATGCTGTCATTAGTTAATAATTCTCTCAGTTGTTATGGTGGGCACGGAAAGTGTTTTCTTTGCCACCAAGGATCCAAAGACACTAAAATCCTGCTCCACGTTATTGATAGCTTCTTAGATAAAGGCCAGCCCAAGTGCCAGTTCTTGCTGTAAGGCTTTTTTACTGCATCATCGCAGAAATAGCTCTCTTTGAGAATCTTATTGATTGCAATACGCACTGTAATTAGTGTAGCAGACTGCACAGTTGGTGGAGCGACGACAGAGCCGACTTTACAAGTAGCGAGAGCTGCATTCTTTTAAAATGATTTAATCTCAAAAAGTGCGTTGGGAATTTCTAGTCCCGGAGCCCTGTGCGGTTGGATATTCCTTCCGTCGTGCAGTGAGGAGGACGGGGGTCGGTAGTGGAGGCGGTGGCCATCCCACGATGCAGGCACACCATCACTGGCAGACCCAGCGAGACGTCCTCTTGCACCCGCAGCCCGCTGCCCGCAGAGGAGGTGGGAGCTACGGTCGGAGGGCTGGTGGGTGTTGGTAGCTGCTCTCAGGGGCACAAGCCCAGCCACATTTTGGTCACCAGCTCATCGCCCCCTCCAAGGCCCACCTTGACCATGGGCCAAGCTCCTCTTTGAGAAGGGCAGTGCTGTGCCATTCATTTGCACTCTCCTACCCTGGCATGGGGTCTTTGCGGTCTGTTAGAGACTGCTGCCCACTGGGTTTGTAATCAGCAAGAAGACAGACTGATGGCTAGAGGTGTCTAAGGTGTCCTAGGACTCATCCTGCCCTGCAGACCAGTGGAGAGGAACCTCGCTGGAGCTGGGGGCTGGAGGCTGGGAGGTCTGCTTCCCAAGGTAACGCTCCTTGCCTATAGAAAATCCATGCACGGAGCAAGTGACGCACATTTGATGAAAAGCTTTTTGAGATCACCAGGATGGCGGAGTCTACGTGAATGGTGAGAGGCCATGGTAACACGAAAGGCACACCTAGCAGGTCATCTTCCTTCCAGGTGATAAACCCATGCACTCATATTCCATTTGCCATGCAGACTTGTACCATCTTGGAGGCTCGCTATAGTAGCTTAACTGTATAGAGCACGAGAACATTGCATACAGGTATTACAACCAACGGGCTCTGGCTTCCAAAATACTGGTTCTTCTTGCAGTACTAACAGTGAAGGAAATGTTCTAGTTCCTGCTGCCCAGAGGAGAGCACTCTTCATGTCTTCAAATGCACTTAACATGCTCTCTCCATTAGAGGGCAGAAGCATGCTTATGCACAGATAAAATAAAACAAAATTACCTGCCATTATGTGCTATATAGCTTGCTGCGTTAAGGGAAGGCAGGACATCATCACAAATGGCCAGAAAACTACATCTGCTAGAAAGAAAAAGAAGATGGAAGAACTGGTGCTTGAAGGGTTAATTTCTGCAATTTGGGCTAACTTGGTGGTCTTTGTAGCACCTCCTTCTGTTTCAAGTTGGAAATTACGAGGGGAAATCCTTAGTTTCTGTTGAATTCAGTGACAGCTTCTGTGAGGAGTAAAGAAGCCAAGAGTTTGGCCTTAAGCAGATACGGACCTCAGAGTAGTTCAGGCCAACAATTTAACCTTCTTTAGTGTCCTCTAGGTGCCATTGCGGTGGTGGTATTTATGACATGGACACTTTCCCCCTAGAAATTGGACCAAATCCACAGACCTATCCTTTCAATTTTGAGTTGTCACCATCAGAGAATGCCAGGGAGCACCATCTGCCAGCTTCGCTCATGGGCACGTGGAAGGGCACGCAGGAACCGCCGGCAAGAGTCACCGGCCTCTTGGCAAGTGCTGGCGCTGGTGGAGGGCCCAGATACCCAGAGATGAGCCTGGTGCAGGCGAGGAAGGCTTCAGGGTGATGGTCACACAGATGCATGAACTGGAGGAAAGCTGGTGTGCCAAGAGTGACATTTTAGTTTTAAGGTTCTAAATTGTAACTCAAACTGAGCAGAAGAAAATTACAAGAAACCACAAAATTCAAGATTAATCATAAAGATTTCCTGGAGACCCTCTTGGATGTAGGGGGAGGTTGGTTCTTTTTCTTTTAAATAATAGAGGTTGAGGTTGTACATTCAGTTTGAAATGGAAGAAGAATGTTTGTTATATTCTTTTCATTGTTAATATATGAAACATTTCATTCTGGGCTTAAGGGGCAGGAGCCAGGGGCTGAAACAATGAAGTTCTGCTGTTGTGATCTAATAGGTATTGAAGGATCATGGGTTAACCCATTACCCTTTTTACAGAGACTTCATCTTTTTATTAAAGGCTTAAGAGGCGGCGTAGGCTCCCCTGGCCGCTGCCCCAACACGGGCCTGCCCGTGCTTCGTGCCAGTGTGTGTGTGCTGGTGCTGCCACGTTCCTGTTTGCTTTGGAGGGGAGGGGGTTGCTTTCATCCTTTTTGGAGGTTGGGTTTTCTTTTTTCCAAGTTGGCTACTGGTCCAAGCCATGCTCCTCAGGAGGCTTCTCCTCGAGCGTGGAGAAGGCACATCACTGCGCACCGCACAGTGACAAGAGGAAATCTGAGTTAAACATATCCAGAAAACGTTTTTATAATCCCAGACAGGTATTTGAAATGAATTATATTTACAGAATGGAACTGAGAGGGAGACAGTGCCCCTCTCTGCCTGTGGAGCACCTTTCCCTCCACCTCGGGACTTACCCTGCTGCTGTCAGAAAGCAGCTCAGCAACTTCATCCCATTCCCCTCAGAGAAGTGCCAGTTCCCCAAGATGAGGGAGAAGAGGTGAAGCAATGGCCTCTGGCATGCTGTTAGTCCTGGTGCAGCCCTTTCCCTCCCTCCAATGTCCGTTTGGTCTGGTGGGACCCATAAACCACTGTTACTGCATGCTCTGGAGCCCCCCGCGCTCTGTATCCCTTCCCCTCCCTCTCCCTCGGGAGCCCCCAGCTCAGGGATGGGGATGAGGATGGGGACAGGGACAAGGATGGCCTGGGGGTTGTCTGTGAGGTTGCACCCTATCCCCACCTCATCGCAGACCTGTGTGATCAGAGGTACCATCCCTCTCTCAGGAAAAAAGCCATAAATGATGATGCTTTTACAAAACTTCTTGTTTTTACAGAGGCATTTTCAGCATGGAGAGTTTTTTCTGATGTTTTATCAGGAGTTTACAATCTGAATTCAATGGAGAATACAGATGAGTTGATAAGCATAGAAGCAGTATAAGATGAATCAGACTCAGATTGGTATTTTAGTACAATACTTGCTTTTTGGCAAACCTGAGAATGACCTAAATCAAACAGTTTTGAAGGAACTAAACACTTCTCACTTGACTTCTGCATGCATTTACTAGTTCAGTAACTTGATTCAGCTTCAGTTGACAGCAGTAACTTAAAAGTGAGGAATCAAGAGCAGTTTGCATGAGAGGGAGAAAAGAGTTCTTCAACGTAAAATGTGGAAACCAAATCAATGAAATTTTTATAGTGATGATTGTGTAAGCATGGCAGGAGCCCTGGAGCCCTGGTTACCTCGATGTGAGCCATTTGCATGACCTATAAGGCGGCCGGCTCGCGCTGGGGTCCCAGCACAGCCCTCTGATGCTGCTGACCCTTGCAGGGTGATGTGGGCTGGAGATTTTTCTCCTGCTAGTTGTCTTCAGACAGATGATAGCATGGAAATGCCAGCCCTGGCTGGCTCTGTCCTGTAGATAAACAAACTCCTCCGGGCTCCCAGCCTCCGAGACCCGTTTGGTTAGAAATGTAAACAGGTGGTCGTGGCTGGGCACTGTGGATTGGGGCCCAAGCTCTGATACCGCAACAACTGACATACAAAAGGGGGATGGAGGCTGCTCGCAGGCATCATTAACGTCCAGAAATAGCATCGATCATTTCTGGCAGCACTGGGGGGAATAAACCAAGCAGGTAAGTGGCTGGGCTGCCAGCGGTGAGCACTGAGACAGCCCTCCGCATACGGGGTATGGGGCTCGCTGGATGGGATGATGGAGCAGGGGTTAATTGGAAGATCCAGCTCTTGTTGTCCAGAGAAATGCAGATCTGGCCTTGAAACGTTTCCCAAGGTCTTGGCACTTCATTTCGTAGCTATGTCTCATGCTCTGAATATTCCCAAGGCACTTGCTATCGTCGGATGTCGTCTGACTGTCTCTTGGTTGCTGTTTGTTTCTGTGGTTGCACGTTGATAAGGTATCTGGTTATGTCTTGCAGCCCTCAGAATCCAAGCCCAACGTCACCCCTCTCACCGTCCTGGCCCATGTTCTCCGCGCCATCAAGTCCTATGCCCACCTCCTCTACGTCCAGCGACTCATCCCCCATCAGGTCTGTTGCAGAATTTGCTTTGCTTTTTGTTGCTTTTGCTATTTTCTGTTTAATTTACTCGGTTTCCCCCACTTCACTTTCCTTTTCCCTTTGCATCCTGCTCAAACTCCCCCAACACAGCTATCTGCACTCAGCAAGAGAGGAGCTTTCAAGCATCTCCTGCCCCAGGGGACCCTTTGAATCCCTCCTTTGAGCCCCCTGGCAGGCGCCTGCTGCCTGCCGTGCTTGGGCAAGCAGGAGCCAGCGCTCGCAGGTCACACTCATGGTGCTCGGCGTCGCTGGTGGTTTCTGTGGTTTTGCCCAGCCATTTCAGCTGTCTGCGGTTCGCTTTACTCCTCTCTGCAACAGGTAAGACGTGTACTGCCTTCCCGGCTGCTGCAAGGAATAACAAGCCTTTGTAAAACGCTGTCATACCTCATTTTCTGGCCAATTCCCTTTTCTTATCTGGAAGCTAAGGAGGGTAAAGGACATGGTGCGACACAGACATTTGCCTGCCCTGTGCCCATGTCTCAGGCACTTGGGCATCGCTGGGTAAATCGGTCCTGAAAGTTACAGACAGACTAAGAGAAGATTTCCATGGGCCCTGGGGTGCGATATGCTGCTGGCTGCGGCGCAGCGGGAGCAGGCGCTGCCTGGGGGTCCTGTGGCTTTTGGCACTGGAGATAGAGTCGTGCTGTGACTGCACCATAGGCAGCGTCTGGGACCTGCGCTGCAGGTGCTGGGGGATGCTCACGCAGGGGAAGCCAGGGCAGCATCGCCTCTGGTCTGTGTGTGTGGTGCCCTCGGACAGGATTTCTCTCCTCCGAGCCCACCCCTGGCACAGGGGAGCAGGAGGCCGCTGTCGTCCCCAGCAGAGTGCGGCTCCCAACCCCTTGGCAGGCACAGGCGCGCGGGGCCGGGGCAGCGATCCCTCCTCTGAGGGAGACGTGTCAAACCTGTTTGTTCATTACAGGCACTGACTGAGCTCTTCCTCCACACCTACAGCCATAGAAATGCTGCCCGTACAACGGCTGCCTGCTTGGCAGGGTTATTTATTTGTTTTGCTCTGCATCTGCAAAGGCTGACAATGGCATAATACCATCTGAGCAGCCTTCCTCCTCTGGGGGAGAGAGGCTCATCATCCCCGAAACCTCACAAGGGCAGATGGGTGAAACTCTGGAGTGTTTTGCTGGCCTTGTGCCATGCTTGGAGGCAGAAACTAATGTCAGGGATTGCTGGGGTCCAGCATTTCAGTCCCTGAAAGCCCCGTAGGGCTCTGAAGGACACAGTTGCAGCCTGGCGAGCAGCTGGTGGGCAGGCTGGGGCCACAGGGACACTGGGCTGCAGAGGTCATTTTGGCAGAGAAAAACAACAATTTGAATAATTCAAGGTAGTAAGCCCGAAAATACCTTTTGTTTTTCATCTGACAGTCTCCCCAAGCACTGTGTGTGAGCGGTGCCTCCCTGCTGGAGGCAGGGACCCTCTCTGGAGCAGGAGGAGTGTTTGCCCATCCTGGTTTTTTAAGTGTGTGGCGGCTGCTTGTGTCAGGCAGCTGGGATTCAGAGAGGAGAGACCTCTGCTTCAGGCCTCTCTTCACAGCAAAACCAAAACCATTCACAGCCTCCCTGGTTTGTGGTTTCTGTGTGAAGGTGAACCGCTTTTGCCACGAGGTGAAAGTGTGCTGCTTCCCTGGGCTTGCTCGGAGAGAATTCAGAACAAGTTCAAGTCCTCGGAAAGATAAAAGTTGGTGAAACTGCTGAACTGAGAAATGGTGGCACCTTGTTCGTTACCCCAGCAGGTCTTGGGGCCATTTCCATCACTTTGCTTTGCCATACCATAGCCGAGCAGCCTGCTGCAGCGCTGGATGCAGCTGGCTGGTTGGAGGGCCCAGCGCCTGGGCAGGTTTGCACTGTCACCATCACCACGGCCCGGCAGTGTCCCAGCTTCCCACCAGTCTTCCTCAAGCCCAAACCTGGAAACGATGGGTGGGAGGCTCCGGGCGCAGGGGACAGCTCTGCGTGCCTGTGCTTTGCTGGTGGGGTCCTGAGGTCCTTCATTTTCTCCCTGTGTCTGCTGGCGATTTGCTCCGTTTCTGGCTCTCTCTGCTCTAATTCACTCCCCCGCAGTGTGGGCACACTGACACTTCCCCAGTAAAATCTAATGGTTGTTAAATCTTTTTTATCTTCAGGTACAGTCTCTAAAGAAGTGCAGCAAATTCTTCATGGACCTACTTGTTTTTCTGTTTTGAAATACCCTTCCCCAAGTGCTAATTCTTCCTTGCAAAATTCTCCTCGTAGTTGCAGCTGCGCTCAGAGAGTGATGGGTTTGGCAGCGAGCGGGGCCGGTGGGCAGCGGGTTGCTGCCGGCACCTGCTGCCCGCCATCGCTCCACACCAGCCCTCCAGTCAGTTATGGCCCTTCAGAGACCCACAAAACATTTCCAGCTCCCCACTGCCCTCCTCCCGTCTGGCGCCTGGAGCTCTCCGGGGGCCCCTGGCTCCGGGCTGCCCGCTGCGTGGGCACTGGGCGTGGGCTCTGGTTCTGGCGGTGCCAGCTGGGCTTGGACCGGGATTTGCAGTGCGGTGAAAATTGGGGTCTCATCCCCGAGAGCCTTTAGCCTCCTCTAGTGTCTTCCTCACTCCTCCCCCAAGCAGCATAACCTTGGACCCTTGTAGAAGTGTAGAGGTCCTTGGACCCCTCTTCAACATGCACCACTTACGTGGACCCCTCTTTGATGCTGTGAGGAGGGCAGTGCTGTTGTATATGAGTAGAGTATTTTTTATAGCAATAAATGCTTTCTTTTTGCAGCTCACCACTGCGGAAAGCCCGAGCTTTGTATGCTTGTAAAGCAGAACACGACTCAGAGCTCTCCTTCACGGCAGGCACCGTGTTTGATAACGGTGAGTCCTTGACTCGGAGGGAGGGCATGGGGCAGTGCCAGGCACCTCGTGGGAACGGGATGAGGTGGGCTCATTTTTCAGCGCGATGTTGGGGCTGCAGTTCCCACCGTGCCGGGAAAGCGGGATCGCGAGAGCTGCGCCCGGTGCTGTAGGAGTTGTGCTTGCTCCGCGCCTGGTGCTGGGCTTCCCTGGAGCTGAGCCCGGAGCAGGGTTTGCTGCAGAGCAAGGACAGAGCACGGTGGGAGGGTGAGGGATACGAACTGGGGGTGTTTGCAACACACCGTCAAATTAGCTTCCTTCTAACGACCGTGGCATTGCCTGTCACTGGCAGCCACCCACCTGGCCTGCCAGGGAAGCGGTGCCGAGAGTGCTGCTCTTAGCCTGGGCGGTAGGTAGGCAGGAGAAATCCCCTTCACTTCAAAATGGACACTTGTTCTATAACAGCATCTCCCATTTCATGTAACGTACATGTGAGATGCTACAGAGCCAGTATTAACAGCAATACAAATAAAGCTACCGAGGACACTGGGCTATTACTTATTTTAGCACCAAGTTTTGCAAATTACTGGTTTTCCTCCTGTGACCCAGGGAATGATTTGGACTTTCAATTCATGGGTTTTCTTTCAGTCCTATGTTTAATGACTGTCCTGTTTCCCCCACGAGAAATCCCATGAAAGAAGAAAGCAGAAATACTTGAAACACAGGCATTAAATCTGAGCTGTATCTTGCCTTACTTTTCATATCCATGCTGAAAACAGCCGATCATCCAGCCCTCTTTAAGATCAGTGTGCAAACTGGCTTTCTGAGATCTTGATTTATTTCATCCTAAGGGAGACATGTAAAATAGGAGGCATGAATAGGTAGGATTCCCCTCCTCTCCCCTGGAGCAGAGTGTGGGAGATCACTCCGGCAGAGATGTCCACTTTGCCACCTCCAGCCTGGGTCAGCGGGTCCCGCTCCACATCCCGCTCATCGCCCTGCCCGTGCCCGTGGTGTCCGAGCCACCAGCCCGGGGGGATGGGTTTTTTGGCCCCGGCAGCAGAAGTGGCCGCACATCCACAGGGCGCGAGGTGAGGGCATGCGTGGGTGACTGCATTCATCTAGATCAGAGCTGTGTTTTGGCGGGCTGGTAAGGAAAGGTGCAGCCTTGCATGGAGGGCATGCAGAGGTCCTCCAGGCTACGCTTGGGAGTACAAAGTGCAGGCTCTGATCCAAATAGAAAATAAAAGGAAGAAGTTTGGCGAGTCACGTGTCACCTTTGTGCCATGCTACGTCAACGGCAGGCAATGGAGCATGGACCGGTGCCCAGCACTGACCCCAGCTGCCTGCACCGTTTGCCTTCCTGGCAGCCCCAATGCTCCAGCTGGTTGCTGAAGTTATTCAAGATCCTGCAGCACACGTCCCAGCTCTTTCCTGCAGCAATATGCGGCACGCTGCCTGTGCCGCAGCAGGCAGCGCTGCCGGCAGAGCGAGGTACCCCTGCGTGCCTGTGCTGTGCGCTGCGCAGGGCTGCCTGCCCACGCCGTGTCCCTCCTATGGGCACAGACCCTTCACCTAAATGTAAGGGAGAAACTGGTGAGTTGTTGACCGACACCAGTGTTTACCATATACAGAGCCATTCCTCAGTGGTCTTCTGCGTAGGAGAGATTAGTTTCCAAGTATCAGCACCAGAAATATTCTATGCAGTTGCCATAATGTTTCATGCAGGAGATGGAAAAGTAACGCATGCTTTTTTACTCTGGATACTGAGAGCTGGAATAGGTGGGCTCTGGTTAGTCAGATTTTTGGAGACGATGTAAATGAACATAGACTTTCTGTTTCCTGCATCAGGGGAAAGAGACTGTGCCCCATGGAATTAAGCAGCTCTGTTTTAGATATAATCCCAATGTAAAAAAAAAAGAGTTTTTACTACTTTCCGAGTAGTTCTTGGCTTTTATATGTTAAGCATTGTCATTTGGGAAACTGCTACCACATGCACTGGTTTTGCCCTGGGATATATATGAGAATATAGCAGAAAGGGGAAGAGAATGAATACATGTGAATTAAAGAAAATACTTTTCCTAAGCAACTCCATAGATATCTTATAAATAAACATGGTCTCCCCTTTGAGAGCCCGTGGGAATTAGAGCAGCTAGGAGGGGAACAAGTTTGAATTAAATACATTGTGTTTGCTAGATAAAAATCAATGGATTATTCAAGGAAAAAAATACACAGCATGTTCTAATCGCTTAGCAGCGTAGCCGAAGCTCACATTAGCTGGGGGAAGTGAGTTAGAAGCAGCACTGCTTGGTAGAATATTATTATGATGAAGGGGTTTTATAAAACCCAGCGAAAGCAAATGGATCTTGGAAATACTTAGAGACAGGTTCTTGTTTGATTTTAAGGTTCACTGAGGTTGCATATGGCAGAGCAGCATCTCGGTCTGACTGGGAAATTGGGGTGCTGTTACCCACACCGAGCGGCACCCGCATAATAAATGACCCCATGTTTTGAGAGGGCCATTTAAACTCCATAGCGTTGTTCCTTTTAGTTACACGAAACCTGGATTTTCCAGCAGAACTTGTGCGCTTGATAGTTGCATGCCCTTGTCATGACGCTAAATGGGAGGGACATCCTGGGTCCGTGGAGGCCTGAAATGGGGGAAGGTGAGAGTCACGGGTCAGGCAATGCTGACCTGTGTTTTTAACTAGCAATTGCCTCTGAAATGGAAGAAACCCTCGATTTCTGAAGCAATGAACCCCCCACCTGAGCTGCTGCTGATGGATACTGAAGTTTTATGCTACATTAGGAAAGTTGTGTTGCATTCGTGCTGTAATTCCGTAATAGAGAATGAGATTCTCCTCCCTATCTGCTCAGGTGCTCTGCTCTATTTGACAGTACCTGGCTGCCTTTGGGACATAAGTGATTTTTAAGTCAAAAGCGGTAGCTGGAACTCACATGACTTTCAGTTAGAGCACTTTCCCAGCCCGTTTGCTGAGACCAGAGGGCTGAAGACACAGAGACACACACACACCACTTACAATTTCTTTTCTCTTGATGGCCACTGTCCGCTGGCGGGGCACTGTGAAGCCTTTACTCCCACCCAAAGGGAGGTAACCCCATAGCTTTTAATGCAGTTTTGCCCCTGGGGGCTTTCCTTGCAGGCTGGAGGTGGCATTTTTCCTCTGAGCCTTAGCCTTTGGTGATAGGAAAGCCCCAAGACTTGGGTGTGAGAGAGTATAGGCATGGAAAAAGAAGTTGGCACAAGTGAAACCTGAAGATGGTAAACATTTTCGTCTAGGAGCCAGAACACCATGGCTCTTAAAACCAGTTTGTTTTCTGTGGTTTGAATTCTTTTTCATTACTACATTGCTATGTACAATATTCCTGTGCAGGCATACCCAGCAGAGATGGACTTTGCCACACTGGTGATGACTGGTCTCTCCCAAAGCGTGGAGATGTTTGGACTTAAAACACTTCTATCTTTCTGAATCTTCCTCCCCGGTCACTGTCAGCCGTGACTTTTGCAGAGAAAATGGCCATCCTGCAATAGATGGGGCTGTAGTAGGAGAGGAGGCACGCACAGGAACCTGAAGCCCTGCTCCTGCGAGCTCTGCTGCTCTGCTGGTTTGATAAGCAGAACACCTGTGTGTGCCATTGAATGAAAAAGGCTTGGTTTTTAAACATTTATTTTCACTCTGACTCTGCCGGAGCCTTGGTGCGGCCTGTACCTGCTGGCAGGAGGGCCAGAGGCTGGCTGCATGGCAGAGCCCATCCCTGCAGCTCTGCTTTGGGGGGACGCAGACCCCACGCAGTGGTCAGTGCCATTTCTGGTGTGCGCTCAAGAAACATGGTCGCATTTGTGCTGAAATGTGACTTTTCAACACGTTCCACCCCCCCAGCTGAGTGAGGGTGAGCTGGGGCAGGAGGGTGCCCGGATGGAGACGCGGGGAGGAGGGCGGGCACCGTGCCAATGGGGCAGGGGAGTGGGCAAAGGGTGAGGGCAGCAGGGGCTCGCTTTGCTCTTGCAGTTGATGCCAAACAACGTGTAAGAGAGCAGACCAGAAAGTCACGGGAAGCTTGGGTAGCTCTGAAATACTGACTTGCCACCATTTATCGTGGGAGGTGTGGGGAATATTCCTCTGCCTGCATTGGCATGACCCTGGTTCCTGTCAAATCAGCAAATTTTCAGTAGTTGATTGAATAAAGAAAGAGCGTAAGTCTTTTGAGGACTGATCAGGTTTCTCGTTTCACAGAAATAAGATTGCAGTGTTCACTTTCCTGCCAGGAGCGTTTGCTAACACACTTTCTCTCAGCCTGGTCCAAGGCCAGGCCGGGACGTGCAGGGTTACGAGGCAACGGAGTTAACCACATTCTCTCGAACTTCAAAGAGATTTTAGCCCAAATGTGGAGGAAGTTTTGAGCCCCTGTTTTTATCCCAAGTGCTTCACTTACATCAGCCCAGCAGCACCAGCTAGTATTTGGAAACCCAGTCCATAACCGGGCGTGCAGCTCCCTTGGTCCTTCTGCTGGTTTCAGTGTGGGGTCTCTGACACTTGATAAAGGAAAGGCAGAGGAGTCCCGTGAGGGAGCAGGCACGGACAGAGAGAGCACTTCAACTTTCCGAGTCCTTTTACTTACTTTAACAAATTAAGGGCCTTGCTCTCTCCCAAGAGCAACTTCGACATTGTCAGCACACAAAGAGCAACGGCCTCTACACCATAATCCCCCTCCTGTAGTAACCTGCCTTTTCCTTCTCTCCTCAAGTTCATCCATCCCAGGAGCCTGGCTGGCTGGAAGGGACCCTCAACGGGAAGACAGGATTAATCCCCGAGAACTACGTCGAGTTCCTATAACTTTGGGCGTGAGAAGCGCCACTGCTGAGCTTTACATGGTATCCATGGCAGCCGCTGGCAGGAGTCCTGCAGACCATTTTGCTCTTTGCCACTGTGCGACGCAGGGTGAAGGACTTCCCCGTACCCACTGAGATGAATGTTTGTGTGGATAATAACGTACGTGTCCCCTCCCGCGCTCCTGCGGTGCATGCCGGGGCTGCGGGGGGAGCGGTCCTGGGGAGATGGCTCGACTCCTCCAGCCCCGAGCAGAGGCAGGCAGTGCCCAGAGCCCAGGTCCCAGCTGGGAGCCCTCACAGCAATCAAAAAAACCCCAGCAACGCAACAGCTCCATGCCGCAGCCCGAGTGCTCCGTAGGGGATGAGCCTGCAAACTGAACCAGCACGAGAGAGCCACCGAGCCTCATGCTCCCTGCAGTGAGACTGTTTCCAGCTGTAAAGAGCATTACTGGGAGCTGAGGGACCCCAACCCATCAGCCTCCCCGCCGGAGGAAGAGCAGTCAGCAGCGAGGAGTCCTTTGCTCCCAGGCCCTTCCCCTCTTTCCAACCAGCCCAAGCAAAGCTCTCCCAGGCAGCCGGGGAGCAACCCAGCCCCTTCTCGTGCCGCCCCAGCAGGGGAAGGGGTGAGGTGCTTTTGGCTGACGTCAAACCACAGGCTGTGTCTGCAGCAGCAGTTTGCATGAGGCTGAGCTTCCCTCGGCAGGCTGGGGGCAGCCCTGGCGAGGCGGGGGGCGTGCCGCCCCGCCGCGGCCAGAGCTCTGCTCTTGCAGGCGAGAGCGAGATGCTCAGGGGGCTCTGCAGGGCGGGCACGGTACCGGCCGGGAGCTGTCAGGACTCGGCAGGTGTCAGCACGGTGGAGGGGAGAATATTTTGGACCAAACCTCTCAAACTTTTTTTTTTTTAAAGATTTAGGTTTTTGCGAGGTAAACATCTGTGATCTGTGCAGCCTGCGTTTCCTTCCTGGAGAGCAAGATGCAGCTCCAGATAAATACCACTCCTTTTGTTTGACTGGCTGTTTTCTGTCTCCACTTTCCAATGCACATTGCACAGAGACATCCATGCTTTCGCGAATGCCCAGGCCGCTGATGTGCCATTTTGGAGCTGTGTTTGCCACTCTCCACCGTTGCTTTTTAGGTGGTCTCCTTGCTTGAAGCCTGGCGTGTAGTCTGTCCGTGCCAAGTCTGTGCAGTACCGGTTGTGCAAGGTAAATTATTTCCATACTCAGAGGACGTTTATTGTTGGTGTGGCCAACCTACGGTCTACCGAAAACAAAGGACGAACCCTTCTGCTCCACCACCCTCTGCTCCTGCCCTGCTTGTGCCTCCGTGGCCATGCGGCGAGTGGTTGGCAAAGCAAGTTTGCAAATCCCTTGCCATTTTGGGTCAATTTTAAGGGGGGGCGCGGGGGAGAAGGAGCCCTGCGGGACTGCAGAGCCGGGCTGGCCGGGTGGCATGTCGGGAGCTGGAATGATTATATTTTGTCATAGAAAATCGTGAAAGAAACCCCAGCCTGTTGGCGGAGAGACTCTGTTGTGCAGAAGTGACGCTGTTGCACACTCCTGGGGGGTGGATGTCGTCTTTTTGTAATAATTTTAAAGACTCCGAGTGACTGAATTGCTGTATGTGTCACTTTTTATTTTTGAAAGAATTAATGTATAAATAGAGTATCTTAAAATATTATGAGGGAAAGATCTATATTTGATATTTTTAGAAGATCTGTAACAAGAGAAGCGAAGGACATTTGAAACCGGTTACAGAAAAGTGCTTGCAAACACACTCGCATCCAAACCACCCTCCGAGCCTTGGGCTGCCTTTTCGTTCGCTTCGTGGTGTCACTTAGAAATGAGGGAAACTGAAATTTCAGACCTCTTTACGTGTCTTTCACAGTAATTAAACCTCCTGGACTTTTGTCTTGGAAAAAAAAAAAAAAGAAAAGAGGAAAAAGTCGATCTTTTTTTTCCTGATTTCTAGGGCGGGTGTGGTACAGCTCAGCTCCCCGGGACTGTAACCTCCCCATAAGCGACACACCGGCCCCTCTGGGGACGCGCTGGGCACATCACCTGGCTGGTGCTGTTCGGGCAGGGGTGAAGCCTCCAAACTGTCCCATGTTTTCTGCTTTAAGGTGTTGGGTGAAGAGGGCTGAGAGGTTTGTAGGGATAAAAGCCAGCGTTTCACTAGCAAGTTGCTGGTTCATGTTCATCCTTGGATTTAATAGTGAACATTTGTACCATTTGTTGATTTTTCCTGAAGCAGAGGATTGGGCTGGGCTTTATCCAGCCCCAGCAGCGCTGCGGTGCTGCTGACCGGTGCTGGGACCGCGGGGGGTGCTCAGAGCTGGCTCTGGCACCTGCGCTGCTTGGGGCAGGCAGTACAGAAACCCCTTTCCAGGAGTGTAGGAGAGGAACGGGAAGGACTAATGGAAAGGAGGGGGAAAAAAAGGCTTAATTTTCATCTGTCAGCACTATTTGCTTGTGTTTGGGACCGTCCCATCCCAAGCCGCTCCTCCAGCGTGATCTCTGCTGCCTTCGTGGGACGCTGCTGGAGCCGGTGGCTTTCAGCTCAGACAGGGATTCTGTCTCAAACGTGTCTTCTGTCTCAAACGTGACTCTTTTAGCCTCTGATAAGAAAGTGTACTATGGACAAATGAGAATTTGAAATGCATTAGAAACGCCTTAAAAGGCATATTTAAGGGATACGGTATTTAGGGACCTCTTTAGTAACGCTGCAGGAGCACCAGCACAGGCGGCTCTGCACCAGCAGGCTGCTGCCAGTCCTTATCCCCACAAAAGTTTTCAGTGCACTGTCCCCCTTTGGCTCTTCAGATGCTCAAGTTATTCTGAGACAGGAGTAAATTCCTTTTCCTAGGCACTTAGGAGCTTTTTACTGCCTAGAGAGTCATTGGGAACATAAGTCCCACGCAAACGTATTCACAAGACGTCTTCTGGAGGAAAGGAAAATAAAGCATAAGCAGAAGTTATTGCTCTTACAGGAGAGCTAGTGGAATATTTTTTTTTTAATTAAAACTTTCCAAAAGAAAAATTTGGCTGAAATGCTTGCTTACTAAATGTTCCCATTTTGGGCCAGCTTTAATACTGGAGTAAACATTGGTTTATTCCAAGAGAAATTAAAGCTAGAAAATATTTTTTTAAACCAGCTTGACATGACATTTGCTGCTTAATATTAAAGTCATCAGTCAAAATTATAAGGAAGCAGGGATAGTCAGACTTGCCGATAGGTAAAGTCTCTCCTGTATTCCCTGTCCCATCATTGTAGGCCTTAAACCAAAAAAAAAAAAAGGACATGGTGCAACAATATCTGTTGAAACAGATGTCAAATGAGTCTCGGTGCAGTCCTGCCATATTTCAGGTCAATAGCGCAAGTCCCACGGGTTGGCCATGGCAGGGGCACTGTGCACCAGCCCTGGTCCCCGCATCCTGGTGGCTACCGACACGCGTGGCATTTCTGAGGTACCCGCGGGCCCGTGTTCGAGCTGCTGGCCCTTGTCTCTTTACTGGTTTTGCGGGGTTTCACAGCAGGAAGCGAAGCACCTCGGATGGTCTGGGAGCACCCAGGCTGCTGCCAGCGCTCCTGTCGCACCTCCCGGTGCCCTGCTGGGGGCTTGGGGTGGGGTGGGGGTGGGCCGGGATTGGGTTGGGGTTGGGGTTGGGTTGGGTTGGGCTTGGGCTGGGTTGGGGCTGGATTGGGTTGAGTTGGTGTTGGATTGGCTTGGCTGCTTTTTTTTGAGCAGGCTATTACTCAGTAAGAGCAACAATTTCAGACTCTGGCCATGAATTTTTCAGATTCCCATCTGGCTCCGCAGTCAGACAAAACATCCTCCTGGTAATTGTCTTGTCTCGAGAAGACTTCTGCCGAGTTCAGTGGCCTGAATAGCAGCCCAGACCATTACAGCTAATTACAGCCGTGCTCCGTAGCCGCACAGTGCTCGGTTATTGCTGTAACACACAGGTGTGTGGATGCTGTGTCCTCAGCGCCAACGCGTTAAGCTGCAGATGGGCTCCTGCTGGTCCCTGCTGGTGCTTAATGCAGACTTAGTCTGAACGGTCATCGTATGCTGGATGGAGTTAGGTGCTGTGAACATGTACCAAACCATCACAGCTCCTTGGGGCACCGAAGGGATGGGACCTTCCCGCACGAGTGCCCTCCGGCTGCGGAGGTACACATGTGGGTGCGCACGCCGCGGCGTGTCCATCTGCACTGCGACACGGCGAGACGAACACCTTCACTTCGGGGAGCGGGCTGCACGCTAATCCTGAGACAGAAGTTTTGTTGTATTGATTTCAGGCTCTGCTGCCACTTTATTTTGTAAATTGCAGTTGAAGCACTGGAATTTTCCCTTGAAGAAGGATATCGCTTATTTTAGTTTCACTTCTGCTGACAGCTTAAAAGAGGGTGGCAGTGAGGGATGGGAGGAGGATGCTCCTTAGAGCCTCACAGCGCTGCCACGTCTGGGTCCCGCAATAGCCAGCTGATGGCTCTGTTTAAATACTGAAGAGAGTTATTCTGATTTATCTGAGAGATTTCACAGCACAAACCCAAACCGCTTCAAGGAATATTTGTTTAAGTCCCTGTGGTGCATCTAAGAGCCTTTCCTTTGTTTCTGGCCATGGTCTGCCCCGAGGAGCGCTGGGGCTGCAGGTGGTGCTCGGGCACGAGGAGCTGCATCCCCTTCATCTCTTTCATTTAGATGACTTTTCAGGAGGATTTAGTTTGGCGTTAGGCTTCTCCTCTGCCGGCCCGCACCCTCTCGGGGCAGTACCGGGGGAAGTGGGGAGTTTCCCAAGAGCTGCTGTTTGTGTAAGGGTGGGATTCGGTCAGCGGGCTCCTCGCAGCTGGCCGAAACGTTGCCCTGCTCCCTTGACACCTGCAGCGGTCCTGGTGTGGGGTGTGGGGGAGCCACAGCCAGCAGAGCCCATTACTCAAGGCACAAGGGTCAGGAAATCAAGAGAGTGAAACACAAGTTCATGGGAGGTACAGCGGATAAGGG